AGCCTAGGCTACCATGTAAATGCCTCCTCTCTGCTTTCCCTTCTTCCGAAGTACCAGCCTCCATCCCTTTATCCTCACCACCCCGCAGCCGTAAGGCAAATGAAAACAAGTTCCTCCTGGTGAAAAAAAAGCTTTGTGAGTTTCCCCACAGGGGAAGTGAATAGTATTGTTGAGTGGCTGCCAAGAAGACATCTAAATGTCTATAACAATTCACGGTGCTCTTGACATTGTGGCACTTTGTGACCGTGCAGAGACTCTTCATTACAAATACAGAAAATCTCAAGGCCCCGTTTTCACCAAACTCAGTGTGTGCACACCGCAAAGTCGTTCTGCATGCAAATGTCCCTGAGATGTCTGGGTGTCCAGAGCTACCAGGCACCTCGCAGCAGTCCAGTAACATACCTCCAACTCTAATACTGAAGCCATTACTCTAATAATCTAATACTCTGCCTCCAAATTTGGAAGGTCTGAGGTGTGGCTACTTTCCTATATGGAAGGTAGTTTATATAGAAATCTCTTCTGTGCTAATCTTTGAATTATGCTTTTAGAAACATTTAAACTAGTGTTGATGGATTACATGCATCCCAAATAATATATGTGCTGTAGGGAGGCTGAATCTCACACACACAGCTTTGTGTCACGCTTACCAGGAATACCTAGCCAGTGACACTTAAGATTTCTCACACTGGTACTTTTTGCCATAAAAATGATTAAACTGCCATAGAGCTGAAACTGGAACAAAATACAAGGCTGGATCACTTGGATAATAAACTTTGATTTAGTCATTAAAGAGATTATTGCTTTACTTCCATGTAGACAGAAAGGACAGGCACCACCCTCATCTAGTTCTGTGGGGTGTTGCACTGTGGTTGCATTTTATTTTTATTTCTCCAATTGGATCCTAAGTAAATCCAATCAGGCAAGAATTTCCAAAAATGGAAATTCTTCTGGTGAAACACAAAGGAGACCTGAGCAAACAACCCTTTAAGGAAAAGGCATGCTTAATTTGCATTTCCCAACCCCAGGTCTGGTTCCTTCCCTCTGAAGTCTTTTCATCTCCAACTCCTCTCCCTAACCCTGGAGCCCTTTTCTTCCTTTGGGAGGTGCTACTGGCACTGTCAGTGTATTGCTCTTACGCTGGGGCACCCCGAGGCATGGGCAGAGTCCCTCTGTGCTCCCTCACGAAGGTTTGTCTCACCCCTGAGGACCATCCCACAGTAGCTCAGCCTACAGACTTTCGGCTGCGGTGGGTTGCTGGCCCATCGGATGGACCAGGTCCTGTTATGGAGGCCACCACATAAAAGGTCAGGCTCTTCAAAGGTGCCTGACATCCCAGGAGGGCACAGCTATGTCCCAGACTGAATGCGTGAGTTCTTTCCAAGATAAGTAAAGGGTTAATGTCCACCAAGACTGGCGATTGTCCTAATGGTCTTCCTTTTATCCTCTGGACCCTTTCTGTCACACAGCCTGACAACGTGGAGTTGTCAAATACACTGACATCTACCAGAAGACAAGCATTGTACCTGAATTTCTTCTTCCCGCATATTTTGCTGTTGCCAGCTGAGGTAACACCCAGCCACTACACATAGCAGTTTCTGCATACAGGCGCTGGTTTGCCCTTGCCAGCTCCTCAACAAGGCTGAGGTCCTAGCAGCAACGGGCCCTTTGGCAACAGCTGGGACAACCACGTTCCCCAGTCCCACTCACATTGGCCTGTGGTGCTTATCCAGTGTGACACGCTATGCACAGACCCAGAGAAATTTCATATTGTGAGGAGATCTGTGAATGGGAATGACTGCCCCAATTTTCCTTGGACAGGAGTTACTATTAGGATGCTATTAGTACGAGTGAAGTGTTGGGAAGGTTCCCAAGCACAACACAAATGGACAGCTTACTTCCCAGTCTCCAAATTCTCCCAGATGTCACTGGACAGACACAAAGCACATCCACGTGCATATGGATGGATACACTTAAAACTTAATCATACACCCCCCACACCACGACCATGATATGTGAGAGGGTGAAAACACTGTGGAAACAAATTCTGGAGGGGATAGGCATAAGCAACATTTGAAATCTGCTTTCCAATTTAAGGTGAACTCAAAAGCATACTTAATCTTCTTTCCCCAGTTTTTTATTCTCCGTATTATAAATCCTTCTTAAAAACTTGAACCATGGTGTGTTATTTTGGCTCAAAGGGAAAAAGAAAATCCATTTGATTTGTACTTTCAGGTTCTGCTTTTAGACTCCAGTTTATCTTGATCGTTAGTTTATAAATCCTGCATTCCAATGAATTATTCTGAAGGGTTTTCTGGAGTGCAGACTTAAAAACAGCTAGAAAAGAAAATGGTATCTTTACATTTCTCCAGGCCCAAGTACGGGACTCATTTCAATCCCTGACGCCTGACATAGCAACTAAATCAGGAGGTGATTTCTACCCATAATTCCATTTATTTTAGTTGTATGTGGGTGGCCATTCTTTTAGCATAAATTCCAAGGAGAAAAATAGAGGTGAATAGAGTTGTTTTTCTCATAAGTAATATAGTGAACTACACAGCAAGACCACAGAAAATGTCATCTTCTAACTTCAGCAATGAAGTGGGGTTTTTCTTAATTATACCAGAAGATTTTCCCAATTCATTAGCTTGCGCTTGGGCTGATTGTGATCAGGGCCTATGCAGACACAGAAGTCCAGCACTTTCCAAAGATGCCTATACCTCACAGCACTCTTGAAACAAAATGTGGTCTAGAAATACTTTAGAGGATGGTGTAAATCAGCTATTGCTGTCCACCATGGAAGCTGATTTCAGTATAGCTACACTATGAGTCATACAATGCGTTTCCAGATTTGTGCATCCAGCATCACCTTTCCCCTCTGAACGATATAGCAGGAAGTTGGTATGCAGGTGTCTGGCTTTCCTGGACCTCTTAAAAAGAAAAATCATCTCTGTTTCCATTTTGGTATGGGCTTTGCAGTGTGCTCCAGTGGAGAAGTTTGCTTGCTGAAATCTCACCAAGCGACACCACAAATTCCACATGCACACCAACAAAAAGAGCTCACATCATTGATATATAAGCAAAAGCTCACCCTTGATGTGCATATAGGATGTTTTGCAGGTCAGAAACGCTCAGACTACGTGACGCTACAACACACAGATTCTGACAGATCCTGAACCTGAAACTTTCACTGGAAAGCGTACATCATCTTCAAGTCACACAATTCTCATGGTAACATCTACATATGAAAAAACTACTGTGCAGCAGGTATGCCTAGGTTTTGGCTGATTCAAGAGCTGTGAGTAAACAAGACAAATTGCTGCTTAGTTTCCTTGAAACAGGTACCATCCTTATGTTTTGTTTCAGCTGCAAAGAACACTTCTAAGAAAAGCAAACCCCTATATTCAGGTATTATTTTCTGCAGTCAGATTCAGGGATTATTTTCTACCCATGCTAAAAATTCTCCAGTAGAGCTCTTTGCCTCTGTCAGAGAGTAGGTAAGAGACTAAAGCAATACACCCCTCGTTTACCAGATCTAATTGAAAATGGAAGAAAGGAAGAAAAGTTAACAGCATTTTTTAAATCCCAGGAACTTGACAGTGACATATATTCCTAACTCACATGCCTCTGAGAAGCAGTTGTGCTGCCCAGAGTAAATAACAGCTTGTAATTTGCGACGAGAATACCCAGCAGCAGCACTGTGAGATACATGCGATAATGTGATTTACAGGACCAGGATATAATTTTCAGATATGCTGTGCTGCATTAACAGTCCAGGTTAAGTGTACGCTGCAACTTTTCCCTTGCAGGTACAGTAGGTGGAAGATTTGTGGTATCTTGAAATACAAGAAAAGGAAATATAGAGGGGGGGAGGGAGGAGTCTCCTGCTGAGATGTTGTGATAAATTATTAAAACTTCTTTTTAATGTTGATGCTACTCTTTAACCTCAGATCACAATACTGACAGCAGAGGAAAACTGAAAGTGCTATTAAAGCTGTGATAAACATATCATGCTGTGGCAACACTTGTAAGACAAAAAAAAAAAAAAGAAAAAAAATCCTGGGGTGCCTCCAATCAGTAACATCAAGAAATAACCAAGGAGAAAATATCAAGCTACCTAAAATCCACAGTCCCTCAGTCCAAATATTTATGAGACACCATTTGTGCTCCCTGAGCTATTTGATTATGAGACCTTGATAACCCATGTTTTCCATAAACAAATGTCATGCAAGGTAGCAAAACAAAGTGAACTTTATGAAAAGGCACATTCAGTGAACTGTTCACAGCACATATAGGGTAAATCTTCTCAGCAGTTTTTAACAGAAGAGGAAAATGGATTGCTGCCTTCAAAAATCATAAGTGTTTTCTCAGCACAGCATTTTTTTCTATAAAGTTAATGCAATTTATCTTTATTAACACATCAACACTGACATAGCCAGTCAGCCAATTAATACTGCTGGCAGTACATTTCACAACATTCATGTACTCTAAAAAAATGTCTGTCTAGTCATTTTTACCACATACACTAACAATTCTGCACTCAAAATAGGCTGCTTGCTTTCTTTCTCTCTTCCTTCCTCTTCTTTTCCAACATTATAACCCCCTATTGACAGGGGTAACATCTCTTGCAATAAAGCCACAAGCGTCTGTCCCAGCGTCTCCATAATGAAAAGAACAATCTGAATTCTCACAGTCCAAAAACCCACTCGTTTCTAAATGGCATACATTTGTTTGTATAAAGGCCTTAAATGTTATTCTGCTAATGATACAATGCAAAGTAAAATTCCTGCAAGTAATATATGCCTTACAGAGTCAGTCAAGCAAACAAACAAGAAAACAAATTAAACTCCATGCTCCCTTTTCAGCATCCTATTGCAAGCCCACATGACAACCTGAAATCTGAGTCACTCAAAATATCATAGGTATTCTCCTTAGATCACCTTTAATACAGCTTTTCAGAATCTTACCCAAACATCTATTACAAAAGTTTTCTTTCCACTTACCCCCCTTCCAGTGTTTGCCTTTGGTCCTGCTAAGCTTGCTCAGGGTTGGTCCAGAGAAGAGCAACATCAAAATGAAAAGAAGTTCAAGCATAGTGATTTTCCCCCGTTTCACTGATGATAACATTTAAAAAAGTTATTTTCAAAAAAAAAAAAAAAAAAAAAAAATCTTACATCTTCTCCCCCACTTTCTCTTTGCTTAAGGAGGAGTGAATATCATTGAAAAATCAGAACAAGGAGTAGCTTTGCTCTCCTTAGATGTTGAAGTAATCTCTCAATGATGTAGCCCTGAGGAAAGCCACATTTCTCACTGATCTGGTTTCTCCCACACAACATGCAGCCAGCACCGCTGCTACTACAGTAGCTATAAAATAATTTCTGCTCCTCACTTTGGTTTCTGTGGGAATATATTCCTCAGCTTGCAGCGTGAGCTTGATTGAAAATGATAAAAACAGTAATGCTTGTGTCCAGCAGAAAAGAGAAAAGATGTCAGGATTGTGAAAAAAGATGAGAAGCAGTTGTACTGACAGCTTTAAGCCTGACTGTCTGATCCTAATAGCCGTGCAACCAACCAAATTGCTCTTTTAAGAGTAATAAGGCTTCAGTGAAAGCTGGTGTCACTGCCACTTGGGTAGGTAGTGCAGGGCTTGAAAATCACCAAGGAACCTGCTAGAGATAACGACTGCCACGGTCCCAGCTCCGAACGCAGAGGGCTGAGCAGAATACAGTATGCACAGGGAGCATTTAATCTCTATTGTGTGGAGATTTCCTGCTTTACAGTGTGCAACTGCTCAGGACTTTTGACTGCATTTTATTAAGGCTTTAGTTCATACTTGAAACTAAAATGCAAGCTTCCACACACTAACTACTCAGAGCATTTCTGAAGTGATTATTGTATGGGAAAAAATCCTGCATGCTTTCGTATTTATTTTTTTTCTTAAAGTAGCAAACAGGAAGAACAAATCCTTAGCAGTAGCAGTAATCTTTTCACTGCACAGAGCAGCTCTGCATTTTATATTTTCACACTGTCTATCCTCAGGTTCTCCTAAATCCAGGGGGCGGGAGTAGGGGGTCGAGAGAGAGGGGAAGAAAAAGGGGATGTTCAGAAGTACAGATATTTCCAAAGTAATAGACTGCAATCACAATTTTTCATTTAATAGTTTCTGATACTGCCACAGAAATAATACCACTACCTACATCTCCAGATTTAAGAATGCTGAAGGTGGATCAGTAAACATATGACTTTCTGCGCAAAATTTTGGATTTTCACAAAGGATGCTCAGAGGAAGATTCACGACATTCAGACTGCTCAAACAGTCTTGGGATGCCCAGTGCTTACTTAAGTATGCCCAGTAGCTTAAATTCATCTACAGTTTGGCATTTAGTTGTTTCCATATAAGCATTCAGTACTCAAATCAATGAGCCACAAACCTTGTGCTGTAGATTTATATATATAAAAAACAAAAAAAAAAAAAGAAAAAATCAATGTCCTTAGAATGACAAAGCAACGATGGTCACAAATTCCCTGAAGTTATCACGTTTTCATCCAGGGACATGATGCCCTTTTCAGTGAAACATTAAAAAGATTATATTAATAAATCTGAAGCTTTGTTTATTCATCTGAATAAAGAATGATGTTTTGACTGGTGGAGGCAATCATGAACGTGTAATATATGTACAGGGATTTTTTAAACAAACAGCATGTAACATCACAAACAAGGAAATATTGTGACTGCTACCACCACATCAACTATGAAAGATCTTTTATTTTCTTTTTTAAGTTCTAAAATATATTTATGGGCTGGTAAGAGGATGTAACATTTGCATTTAGACGGAAAACAAATGCATGCTGATGTACAGTAGTTTTTCATCCCTCTGTGCATTAATTTTTAAAAGTTCTAAGACAACTTACCAGATGCTGAGTCTGATATATCAAGGCTGATGTTTATGGCTCTTAGTTGCCAAAAATTAGGTCAGTATCTATCATGTAGAGTCACTAAGCTGCGGCTTCTTATGTTAAATTTCTCCATCAAGCCACTCTTAATCACCAGTCTCATTGCTAATAATTAAAACACCATTTCTTCTATTCTCTCCCAACTGTTACTGAAATGAGGCAGACACTTGTGTTCATTTTGATTGCCTCTGTAATGCTCCTCTGAAACTACCACCATGCTGCCACGTTGAAGCATTGAAAAAAATTGCAAGTTCACATTGCTAAGTTTCAAACTTTTGATATCTAGATAATAAAATGACCTTAAACTGAAACAACCACCACCACCTCCACCCTCAGGTACCACTATGCAAATTCATGAACTTAAGAGTTTTGAATCAGAAAGCAAACACTTCTGATGTCCAAAACGTGTGGCAATACATGCTTCAGAAATCCTGATGGGATCTTACTCTTGGCCATCTCTGCAGCCTTATGTCACTTCTACCTCCCACATCCTTTCTTCAGTCTCTGTCTTGCTTTCAAATTTCATAATCCCCTGAAAGTCTGCCATCTTGTTTCTACCCCTACCCATACGGAAGCCAGCTGCTGTGGAGAAACCTGTTTTCAATGGTGGCAGGCATCCTTAAAAATACCTCCTTGGTTCCTATGCCGCAGAAGAATTCAACTCCTTCAGCTTGGACACCTTCTATTTTTAGCATTAATAAAAGCAGCGGCTATTAGAAGGTTTTACAGGTTTCTGTCAGCTTTCTGCCACCTCTGACATGTGCCTCCAGTAGCCTCAGCAGGATCAGGTACCACTTGAGTAGCAGCTCAGGGGAAGTGGCAGGAGAACAGGACCACCTGATACAGGAGCAAATGGGAAACCATCACAGCTGCTAGTTGTGGGCGTGTTTGGTTCAGTCTAATGCCTAAAGAGCCCAGACTCCCACTCTGCTGATGGTTTTCTGTGTTATTTTGCAAAAGGTAAGTTATTAAATCCACTTTGCCTATATTAAAAGTGAGCGGGCAGACCTTCAGGGGAACACATAAAAAGTGTTGTCACTTCTTATGAAATTTAGTGGGGTTTTTAACATCCTCATTTCTAGGTTCATAAGAATTTCAATTTTCCAGGGTTGAAATGCCTCCAGAGAAAAGATACAGTTTCAAGAAAGATTATACAAACTTTATAGGTTGAAACATCAGAAAGACAAATAAAAGAAACCCAACATTTGTTTTTTCCTTCAACTATCACGATTTTTAAGTCACCATCATGTTTCAGAGATGTAAAAGAACTGATTTGTAAGTCTATTTCATGCTTTGAATGCACAATACTGAAAAACAGACTGAAAAGTAAACAGACTCTTCTACATTTATTTTGGTTACTATTACAAGAAAAACTCCTACGAGAGCTACAAGAAGCAGAATGGTCCCATTACAGCTAAGTGTCCCTGACATCCAACCTGTCCTTGCCAGGACCTCTTGCACCCTCCAAGGTCCTTCATGACAGCTTAGGCCAGTTATGAGTATGAGACTATATAATACTTTCTAAGCACAGAAGTACTCAATATATTTAAGACAGACCAAATGCCTATCTTTTCTAGAATCACATCTTCAGTAGTGGTCAACCTCGGATGCTTACGGTAAAAGTACAGGAATGATAAAAAAGCATTTGTGGAGCTTACCACTTGCCCAGCTTGCCAGCCTCTGCTTGTGAAAGGCTTTGAGACTTCTTAACTAGAGACTCTATCACAGCTATCACGTTTGATTAGAGACTGACGGACCTATACTTCTTGACTTTGTCATAGTTACCTTTTTGATTCATTTATGCTTTTCTCCACCCCTATAGTCCCTGGCAATGGGTTCCACAGATTTAATTACTCACAGCCTTAAAAACGTACTTCCTTTTGTTTCTTTGAAAAGTATACTTGATAATTTTATTGAGATAATTTTGGTTTTCCATAATGAAAAAAAAATTCCTGTTCACCTTTCCTCATATTGTGGTTTTCCAACATACCCACCCTTCATAAAAGTTATTCCAGTAAGAAAAGTCCTACCCTAATCTTTTCTTGGACCAAAGATGTTCCATATTCACAAATGTCCTTGCTGCCTTCATCTTAAGTATATCCAGTTCTAATTCAGTGTTTATGAGATGAAGTCAAAAGAAAAGCCTACAATATTCAAGATGAATTATCAGTTGCATATTCTCTCCCTCATTATGCTCATGAAGCCAAAGGGCAGCAGCTACCATTAAGCTGGAGTTATGTTTATAAATGCCTACAACATTAATGGATACAGCGATTCTTTATAGTTAACAGAATTTTAAGATGTTTACTCAGTGGAAGCATACGTCAGCAACCTAAAAAACAAACCACCAGCAAGATACCCAGAAAAAAATATTTCCAAGTTAATTAATCTTCAATTGTTGTATACGGTTATTTGGTCACCCTTCCTTTCCATATTTTCCTTCTTTTTACTAATCGCTATCTGGCACGAAGGACGACTGGTATAAGCACTTGGTTAAAACCCTCAAGCTTGAATAAAGAGCAACAATAACTTCACGGAAGCTTAAATATCAGAGCCCCTAAGCAACATGCTCTTTTAAGGGTGATATCTTGGAGAGGTCTGCTGCTAAGACTATAGGAGGGATAGACAGAAGCCTCAACTGCTTACTTGCTGACACACTCGCTGGCCCTGGGTATTTGCCATCCAGATCCCATTTCGCTACAGTGAAGGTTACAAACTTTCACAAGATCCTTCAGTAACTGCAAGAAGTAACATCTGGATCAAACCCAGCATTCAGTAGCACAGGCATTTTTCATGCTTGTATTTCCTGGCACTTTTTAATAGTAATATTGTCTTAATATTTGGAGAAGCTCAGGAAGAATCGCAGCCTTTGTTCTTCCCATTTCAGAACACTGGACAATCAAAATAAAAAAATTAAAGAGATTGCAGAAAAATATAGAAAGGACCGTTTAGAGTGTCATGACTAAGATGAGAAGGAATGGAAACAGAAGCCCAAATGTCCACCCCCTCCCCAAGAAGTTACAAATATTTTATTTTGTCCTACCTCTCTCTCCTTTTCTGTTCTCCCAAAGATGCCATACAAGTCAGCATTTGGTAGCATGAAAATGCCCATGACTAAATGAACTTTGCAGAAGGAATATAATCAACACTAAACACTACAAGATAGAAATATA